TTTGATGCGCTTTCAGTGGAATTTATTTCCGTGCCAGTGCTTGGCTATAGAATTTTATTAGAGTTTTCCGAGGGAATTGAGGGAATGATACGCTGTGCACCGAGTTGTGTATTATTCCGATAAAATATTCAGAAGATTTCGGAATATTTTTTCCATGATTTCTGAATGAAGACTCAATCATCCGCGATTCCACGGATCCGATCGGGTCAATGTGCTGATATTTTTCTCCAAAATTTTATGTATAAATTATTTATAGACTCGTCGAGAAGTTCGACTACCCATGACCACGAGGAAAATAAATGAGAGCGCATAAATATGGAGTGGCAGAGTTGAATTTCAATTTATACCGTGGTATCATGCCGTGAGGATAATTTCAGTTTATTCTAAATTAGGAGAGAGAAATAAATGTGGTTACGTGTTACGAGTGGATTAAGTGCGTATTACAACAAAAATTGGTGGTAGTCATTGAATATTATGGAAATTGGGCCAAATTCAATTTAATTATCAATGTGTGACTCTGAGTTGGATTTGGGTTTAAATTATTCATGAATGTATGATTCATGTCGAGAACATGAAGACATTGATTCTATTTTATGTTTCAAAAATTTTAAATTCAGAAAGATTGTGAAAATTAAATGTCGTATTGAATTATTTATTTGCAGTAAAATTAAATTTTAAGGCTGTAGCCGCTTGAATTTTCATGACTTTCACGCGTTTGTCTAATGTTATCAGATTGAATTTCAAATTTTTATCGATTTATCATGAAAGTGGTGTGTTTCTCCGCAACACCGAGAAAATCGTGGCAAATTTTACTGCACAGAAGGTAATCGCAGAGCGAAATATTAACTTCGCGTGATTGCAGAGTTGATTTCAGTGATTTCGGGAAGAAATGAAATCGATGATTTCAGAGGCAATGAAATAATTGAAATCACGATGAATAAAGTTCAATGAGCGAGTGGGAGCGGGACAGAACGCGCCGTTTTAAGTTTTCAAAATCTGCTTATCACACAATACGATTCAGTTGAACTTGTTCTTACTTCAAGCCTGAAATGAGAACTGGAAAAAGCATCCAATTTGTTTGAGTTCACTCTGCCAATCTACAAATGAAAAAATTTTACAAATGAAAAACGGCCCATTCCACCGCTTTTCCCTAATACTCCACAATTCAAAATAAATTTCCAAACGTTATATTACAAGAAAGATAAATGGAATATTCCACAGATTAATTATTTAATGTATGAACAGCATTGTTTAAAAATATTTTTTAACCTCATCAAAAATGCTCTCATGGAGCTTTAAGTCAGCACTCTCAGTAATCAGCGGAGGAGAAATTGTCCTTGGGTATTGTTTCACATCAATGCAGCCGTGAACAGTCATTGGCTCTGATTTTAAACAATTAAAACTATGCAAAATGTACCAATGACACAGAACACCGATATTTTGTTTATTACCACTGATAAGAGCGTTATCCACGACTGCGTTTATCCACCCGCTTCAATTAATTCTATTGATTTCAAATGTATTCAGCATGATTTCAAGACTTCAGCGTGATTACAGAGATGAATTCAGAGAGTTGAAATCACGTGATTTCAGTGATTTCGATGATTTCAACTATTTCACATGATTTCAACGTGATTTCGGATTAATTTCATCGCAGATTGGCGCCATGATTTCGGGTGTGGGTAGTCCCTCACTTTTTAGACCATATTTATTTACTCTAACACAAAAAATTGCAAAAATTGCGAGGCTCCCATTACTGAAAATCAAGTTGGCTCCACGACTACTTGACTCGTTCGGTAATTCTTCTCCAACTTTTTTCTCCGTGTACAATCCTATATATTTACCCTCCATTTGTCATCCCAATTCACTCCAACATTTTCATCCCTCAACTCACTTGTGAATTATTATTAAATTTCATGAATAACTCGACTAGTCGAGGCTCGCGTCGAGGTTCATCCACTCTGAACCAAATGTATGATAAATGTAGAAGGTGACCCTCGTCAAATACAAATCCCCATCACGATGAACGAAGCACTTCTGTTTCCACAAAAACTTTCTATAAACGAAAAAAAAAGTTTCAACATCGAACTCCACCAGCGAGAAGAAGGATTTGTTGATGTCATTAAAGTGTGCCCCATTAATCGTAACTTCTCTCACGTCAGGTCTATTTTTCGAACACCTCTCGACCGAATGCTCATGGGCTTGTCATATTAATCAACTTTTTCTCTACGCCGCGCGCTGTGGCGAGTCAGATTGGCAATAATAGCGGCGATGAAGAATTTTGGCGATTATTTGTGAAAAAGTTTTGAGCTGGGGTATCAATCATCCCAGAGTGTCTGAAATTGAAAGTGACAATTGAGTTGATGAAGACGCATTACTATTTCACGAATTAAAAAAAATTGAACATTCGCAGAAAATAATAAAACTCTTCATTTGAAAATTTTTTATTCATTTCAACAATTTTTTTGTTGAAAATTCATAGACTCGCATATTTATTCATTGAAAATGCTTTAATTATCGCGAGTGGATGAATAATGTATTACTAATAGAGAATTATCACGAACTGTTGGGACAAATCCATTCGTTGTGAAAAAAATTAGAGGTAACGATTGGAATAAATTTGCGAGAAAATAATGGGATATGTCTTCAGTTCTACCGATGCACTCCTCAATTCAGAAATTAACGATCATAGATCAAGATGGCAATCCACTCCCACGTCTCAACCAATTAGAACCCCCAGCGATCGATTTACCTCAAGAAATTGAGAGCATTTTCTCCATCAGGATCGAATGAAGGGTGCAAGAACAACTATTGATACAAGCCCTAGCGTCATCCGAGCCCCCTCGTTAGTATCGATTATCCCGAGAAAAGTATTGTTCGGACGTCATTGTCTAGACCAATTTTACTGGTCCATTCACCTATCGATTTTATAATTTCCCAATTTCTTGGATCCAGTCTGAAAGTAGCTCTTTCAATGTTGACTCATTAGAGCTTTAATTCTCCCAATTATAGAGCACTTTCGATTCATCCACCTCCGTTTGTCGGACAATTGCACCACAGAGCAAAAGCGCTCCCACAATGATGAATTTATGAGGAGGATAAAATGAAATTTTCGATTCAAAGTAAAGTTTCTCTCTATCGGAATAATCAACGAGCGATTCCTCAAGGTTTTTCTGATACTGCTACACTGAGAGAAAAAATTACGTTTGACAAAGATGATAAATATTCTCTGGTCAATTTCCACACGAAGAAAATGAAGTAGTAAAGATTATTATGTCGGCATCCGCACATAGTAAAGGGTGCGAAAATTTTTTTCCTCCAGGAAAAATCCAAGATATGACACTTTGGCCCCGGGTGAAAAAAATTTTTTTTCCATTTCGAGATTTCTCGCGCCTTCGAGGGTTTCATTGGCATTAGAGGGGTCAATAAATAGAGAATCAACATTCACTTGGCGAAAAAATTCGATTTTGGCGAAAGTCGACTTTCCCCCGGCAAAAATCCAAGATCTGACAATTTGGCCCCGGGTGAAAAAAAAAATTTTTATTTCGACCTTTTCCCCACTTCCAAGAGTTTCGTTGGCATCAGAATCGCGAGTAGATGCAGAATCAACCCTCACTTACCGGAAAAATTTGATTTTGGCGAAAGTCGACTTTCCCCGGCAAAAATAAAAAATCTGACGCTTTGACCCCGGGTGAAAAAAAAAAATTTTATTTCGACCTTTTCCCCACTTCCAAGCGTTTCGTTGGCATCAGAATCGCGAGTAGATGTAGAATCAACCCTCACTTACCGGAAAAATTCGATTTTGGCGAAAGTCGACTTTCCCCGGCAAAAATCCAAGATCTAACACTTTGGCCCCGGGTGAAAAAAAAAAATTTTATTTCGACCTTTTCCCCACTTTTAAGAGTTTCGTTGGCATCAGAATCGCGAGTAGATGCAGAATCAACCCTCACTTACCGGAAAAATTCGATTTTGGCGAAAGTCGACTTTCCCTCTGAGAAAATCCAAGATCTGACCCCTAATTCACGTGAAAATGAAATTTTTTTTAATCGTCTGTTCTATCGCCGCCGAGGGTTTCATTGGCATCAGAAGAGTCAATAAATACGAATCACTTTCACTATTTTTTATTCAAACACCGCATGCAAACGGAAAGACGAGAGTGGCTAAAATATATTCTGCAATCCCCTCTCCTTGTATAAAGGTACAAATTTCAACCCTCCGCATACATGGTTTCCCCCTCCACCCCCTCGTGAAATTCCAAGATCTAAGTAGTATAGAGGAGGACTCCGGAAAACAACTCTATACTATAAAAATCTAAATCGATTTCTGATGATGATAATTCGGCACTCGAAATGACTTAAAGGTCACGAGTTCTATAATGAGGGTCAGAACGAGGGCCACGAGGGTTCGAGTAAGAGTCACAAGGGCCAGAATAAGGATCAGCGGGGGGCGCCCCCCCTAGTAGATCAATAAAACCCAAATTCACACCACTGAAAACCCAAAAGCATCTGCTACTTACACTGATAGAATGATTCATTTATTCCAAACGAGATTCGTTAACTATTAACGAATGGTAGAGTTGAATATGACCAAATGAATATTCGTTAATAGTTAACGAATGGTTCACTTGAATGGCGAAAGTCAAGTCAAACAAGGCTACTCAAATATACATTCGTTAACTATTAACGAATAAACATTTGGTGAGACCGAATAGACCCTAACCTCCAACCAAAATCCGTTCGTTAACAGCAACTAATCCGTTCTATCAGTGTACCAAAAACATCCCTACCCCTTCACTTCTGCAAGCCCTGCTCTGTTCCCTCCAAAAATCGCCACTAAATTCTCTCATCTGTCCAAACAGGAGTTGCCCGAGCTTGCGGAGGGATCGACCGAATAAGAGCGCCCGCCAAAGGACATCAGAGCCCCGATTACAAGCCGATGCCGCCGTCATCCACCATCGAGGTCGCACCAAGAAGTCCAAAAATAACCTGATGTCACATCGCCCCATACAGCCACCGCCATAAAAGGATTGAGAGTACGTGACGGGCAATAAATGATGCTCCCCCGGGAGAAACATTCGTCCCAACCATGAGCTCCACACACGCAGACTTGCTCAACTTATCAAGCGATGCGGCGCTGAGACTGGGGTGTGATAACACGACCGAGTCGATGAACGAATCAATCGCCAATGCGGACTGTCTGGATCACGCACCAACATTGACAACTCACGCATACGTAAAGGCAATAGTCCTCGGTGTTATGGGTGTATTCAGTCTGATCGCTAATTCAGCCACTATTTGGTCGATAACGAGAAATCGACGGAAGCATCAGGGCTGCTCAGCAGTTTACACCCTGATTCTGCACTTGTCCGTGGCTGATCTATTTGTATCGGTGTTTTGCCTCATCGGAGACGCCGTGTGGAGCTACAGCGTTGACTGGCCCTGGGGAAATGCCACCTGCAAATTATTCAAATTCTTGCAGATGTTCAGTCTCTATCTGAGCACCTTTGTGCTGGTGCTCATTGGGGTCGACAGATTCATCGCCGTTCGATATCCAATGAAGAGCCTGAACACCGCCCAACGCTGCAACCGACTCGTGGTATTCACGTGGATTCTGTCCTTCGTGCTCAGCATTCCTCAAGTGAGTAGATCTGTTTGGGTGGATCTGGGAAATTGTGGGGGGGGGGATTGTTGCGGGAATGTTAATCATCTAAGGTTAGCAGGTCACGCAGGGAAAACTTGCAGGGGAAAACATTTTACTGTTTTGATGGAAATTTCTGTTGTTTCTATTGGGTTTCTATCATTTTTACGGGTTGAAAAGACGTGTATGAAATAAAACAAATTGAAGTGAAATTGAGGAATGTATTAAGAATGTTTGGTACAACCTGAATTCAACTTCTATGAGACGATCTGTTAGTTTTGGCCAAATTAATAAATCGCGCGAGTTTACTGCAATTTTGTTTTTAATAGGAAGTGTCTAATAAAAAATATTCTGTCGATAAGAGCTGTAGAATTTCATTTCTCTGTATAATTGTTTCTGTTGAGTCATTTTCTATGCATGAAGAGAATTTTTTTAGGGAAATTCTAGTGCCGGCTCGGAATAAGGGGCGGAAAATGCCAGCAAGTGAATTTTACCCTTTATTTGGCTCAACTGAAGGTTTTTGTTAATAATAAATACGTTACTTCTGTCGGCGTTTTTTATATTCAGAGAAGGCTTCAAATAATCATATAACCGGGGGGGCTACACACTCCTGAAATCATGGCGCAATTCTGTGATGAAATCAATCCGAAGTCACGTTGAAATCATGTGAAATAATTGAAATGATCGAAATCACTGAAATCACGTGATTTCAATCCTCTGAAATCATTTCTGAAATCACGCTGAAGTCTTGAAATCATGCTGAAGTCATTTGAAATCAATAAAATCAATTGAAGGGGATGGATAAACGCAGTCGTGGATAACGCTCTTATCAGTGGTAATAAAAAAATATCAGTGTTCTGTGTCATTGGTACATTTTGCATAAGAGTTTTAATTGTTTAAAATCAGAGCCAATGACTGTTCACGGCTGCATTGATGTGAAACAATACCCAAGGACAATTTCTCCTCCGCTGATTACTGAGAGTGCTGACTTAAAGCTCCATGAGAGCATTTTTGATGAGGTTAAAAAATATTTTTAAACAATGCTGTTCATACATTAAATAATTAATCTGTGGAATATTCCATTTATCTTTCTTGTAATATAACGTTTGGAAATTAATTTTGAATTGTGGAGTATTAGGGAAAAGCGGTGGAATGGCTCCTTTTTCATTTGTAAAATTTTTTCATTTATAGATTGGCAGAGTGAACTCAAACAAATTGGATGCTTTTTCCAGTTCTCATTTCAAGCTTTGAAATAAGAACCAGTTCAACTGAATCGTATTGTCTGATAAGCAGATTTTGAAAACTTAGAACGACCCGTTCTGCCCCGCCCCCACTCGTTCATTGAACTTTATTCATCGTGATTTCAATTACTTCATTGCCTCTGCAATCATCGATTTCATTTCTTCCCGACATCACTGAATTTATTATCAATAATTAAAATAATCTTAGTAATGTTTCTAAAAAATTCACTAGAAATTTAATACAAATAAGTTCCATGCCTCCAGACATCTTCAGTCTTTCATGACTGCGAGACTGAATTACCCACCGCGACTGAATCGTTTCCTTCACCGCATGCGCTTCTGTTCCAGCTGGACCTCCTTATAGAGTTAATTCCCCAATGAATCCAACGGCTGTTCCCCCTCAAGTATGAACGATCTGTTAAATCATCAACAGCACCAGGACCTTCTCCTGAAAGTCAATGGGTTCTTATATCTATATTGCTTGTCCTCGTTTTCTCTCTTGCTATCCAATATCCCTGAAAACACGTGTGAAATCTCCTTCGTTTATCCAGCATTTTCCACCCTCTCCGGTTAATGGCGATCCAACAATTCTAGTATTTCAAGAGACAGAACAAAGGGGAGGAATTTCTCTATGTACGGTGCACTTCTCCTATCGGCAGATTTGATCGCAAAGGACGGAACTTCTGCTATTTGCGCTCTTGGATTATCTTGCAGTTGTAGATGACTCTGAATTTCATCACGGACTAGATGGGAATATTTACTTGTGAAAAGCTTCCATTTCTTCGTTCAAATTCCAAATCTATTAAATTTCATACACTCGGAAATGCATTAAAAAATGGGCGAAACATAGAAGAAAAAATCCGTAACAAACGTGAATGATAAGTGAAAAATTGACGAATAATTTTGAATCTTTAATCTATTCCCTTTCGCTTTTCAAAGTCACCGGATCAATATCCGTAAATATGAAAAAATAACGGAAGTGTTGTAAATCGATTTTCTAAAGAATTGAACAATTTTCTTGAATTATTAAAACAATTCGTGTGTTCTATACAACTGGATAATTTTTTAAATTTTTCTCGAATGAAAAAAAGAGATTTTTTCGTTAAAAAAAAGACATAAAGAACTTCGTGAAACTTTCAACTTTTATAAAGAGTGTGCGGTGAATAAGAAAAATAGAGCGTTTATACGGAGAGAAAAATTCAATAAACATTACCAGGAAAAAAATGTAAAAATTACGTTTCGAAACGTAATCTGCGAGCGAAGTAAAATTCAATAAAAAGTATGACTCGGAACTGAAATCGCCACGTAAATTCTACGATTTGTCCCGTAAAAATTAACAACCCATCTGATGACTCACCGCTGTGGGGACAAGTCGTTCCGTAATTTTTCCCCAACGATTGAGAAATTTTACGGACCGGAACGTAGAAGTAACTCACCAGCTTCATAAAAATTGTTGAAAGAATTAAAAATTGTTCAAGAATTTTTTATTTTGGAGGCATAATAAGTCGGCAAGTTTCTGTAAGATTTTACTTCTTCAGGAAAAATTACGTGACCATTTGATAATTTGTCCGAACAACCTGAACCTGAAAATTCACTGAACGTTTCAGATTTTTTCTCTTCCATTCCTATAGAAATTCCCGGAAACCGATTCCCCATTGCTGATTACGTGAATTGTTCAATTGTAATTGTAATTGTAACAATCATAATTGAAAATATCAGACTTAAATTAATCATGAATTAAATTTTCCGCCTCAGATGACTGGAACCAATGAGGAATAAGCGTGACAGACTTGCGANAGGAAAAATTACGTGACAATTTGATAATTTGTTCGGTGTTGAACCTGAAAATTCACTGAACGTTTCAGATTTTTTCTCTTCCATTCCTATAGAAATTCCCGGAAACCGATTCCCCATTGCTGATTACGTGAATTGTTCAATTGTAATTGTAATTGTAACAATCATAATTGAAAATATCAGACTTAAATTAATCATGAATTAAATTTTCCGCCTCAGATGACTGGAACCAATGAGGAATAAGCGTGACAGACTTGCGAGATATCGATAGTTATCGAGTTTAACTGTATGTTTTTTTTAGACTAGGATTCTCTCAGTGAACACCTGGATGCAAAGGTCGCCCGACGCGTCAGAGCGGACGCTACCTAAGGTTCTAATACCGCACAGGAGATTTTCAAATATTACCCGTCTACGAGATTTTCCCGTTTCACTAGCTTCAAAATGATAAAACATGGGCCATGAAAGTTCCGCTAGTTTATTGAAATGATGCGATGTCAGGCTGCAATAATGAGTTTATCGTGCATAAAAGCATAGTGGGGCATACTGTCTGCAGCAAGTCAAGAGATTTGTCGTTCCCGTGAACCTGTTCCAGGTGGCTTAGAGTGTTACTCAGATAACTTATAGCGTGGGATGTTTGAACTTTGGGTATCTCTCTAGAACATAGTGTTTTGCATCGAGGAAAACAGGTATCGTTATCACATTCCGGTCCTTTTAGGATAGTCAGGGTGTATTTATACAGTGGGACTTTCATCGGCAGTCAATCTCTTCATTCATAAACATCCGAAAATTCGCGGAAAGGATGATGATTTCAATGGAATCTTACACGAAATCAAAACGTTTACGGAATCTGACTGCACGGAGAGAAATGTTCAATAAAAATTACGTATTTTTTCCGCAATTCCGGAGCGCAATGTGGTTGTAGGAAGTTTTAGGGAACTGTCACGTAATTTTGATCTAAAATCACGCAATTTTTCCAGAACGTTCCGTAATTTTTACTTCTGTGAAGAATTACGATACCGTCACTTAAATTTTCTGAGTCGATTCCGTAATCGGTGAGCGAACTGTGAGTTCCGTAATTTTTACTGAACATTTCTCTCCGTGTGATGAACGTGATATCGTATTCCTGATGATCGTTAGAAGAATTTGAACTGTTGTCAGGAAGAAATATAATCTATTGTACGAGAATCATTTGATCTGAGAGAACTCCATAGGTTTACACGATAGAAAGAATACATCGACGAGGAAAGACTATTTTTTTCCCAAAAAAAATTGTCCCCTCGAAATTATTTAGTTCTGCCAATACCGCAATTTTCGGCAAGAAAATTGTAGTTTCTTTTTGAAATTATCATTTGTTCCATGGAAATTATAAGTGTCCATTGGACAAAGATATGCACTACTCAATAACAGTCACTTGATGAAACCGGAGCCTCATATAATTCTCTGTAGAACAAATGTATTTACCCGAAAGACATAAATGTATCGCGAGAAAAATTACTACAGTGAGAGCCAAACAAAGTTCTCAAACAGGTCTTACTTGTGCCAAGAAAATAGTTTTTGAAAGTTATCAAAGGATTTTTGTGCCAAACATGCAGAGAGTGCGCCGGAGTGGAAAATTTTTTCGCTCACATTTATCAAACAGGAATGCAAGCGGATGAAATTCCATCTGCACTCATTGGATCAAAGGTCGAGACCTTCGCCGTGAAATCAGATCAAATTGTGTTACCGACTACTGAAATAAAGCAAAAATACGAGATTTCTGTTCATTACCATTTGATAAATGGTAACTTTTAGTGTCACATTTTCCCGTGAAATATGTCCCTCGCATTATCGGCGAACTATCTCTGTAAACTAGCTCTCCCCATTTCTCCACTCCATTTGATTTATCTCGCTTCAATGAACGAAATAAGAGTACCATATTTTTCTTTCCGCGAAACGTGTTGAGATAACGGGATGAACAGGAGAATA